TTTGGGTGGAGTTTTTTTTTCAAATAAAAGCCCTCGGCATCTCAGGGTGGCACAGTGGTGAGCTCTTAGCTTCACCAGGCTCATCAAAGCTGCTCCAGGAAGGCCAGAGCCAGACCAGAAGACATGCAGATCATCACCACGGCCCTGGTGTGCTTGCTGCTAGCTGGGATGTGGCCACAAGACGTGGACAGCAAGAGCAGTGAGTGTGGCAGGCATCACTTTGTGTCTCTCTAGGGAGGGCAGAAACATGGTCAGCCACTCTGGGGTTGGAGCAGGCCTCCTTGAACTCACCAACTCAGTCTCCCCTCTTCCTATCTAAAGAGGAGGAATGGTGAACTTGGACGGGCTGGGGGTGAGAGCCAGTAGGAGAACCATGAGTTGGGGCAAACACAGAGAACTGAACTGCCAGCTTCAGTACAAAGAGGCTCTGCTTCATCCAGACCCAAGGGAGGGAGCCTGTGAGGTTACTTGGTTAAAGTGGGAAGGCCCGAGGTCCAGGGGAGGGCCTGGGTGTAGCTTCCACAGCGTGACAGACACAAAGCAGAGTCTGAAGGCAAGACTGGGCTCTAACAGTTGGCTACTCTTGGGCAAGTCACTTTAGCTCTCAAACTCTGCTTTCTCTGTCAGTGAAATGGAGTTGATTATGTCCGCTCTCCAAGGCTGTCTGGAGAGTACCAACCTAGTAAGAGGCATGAAAGGGGTTGCAAACGGAAAAACTAGGAGGAAGAAGCTGGGGTTGGAATGCAGGTCTCTTGCGGGGTGTGGTGTGGGAGGAGAATGCACAAATGAACAGAGTGGGGGTTGGGGGCTGGGAAAGAGCCGAGGACCAGGGCAGGAGGGGATTCAAGAGATTGAGTAGGGCAGCTAGCTAGTTCCTGGGAGCTCTTCCCTTGTCATCTCATCAGCTTGGAGTCCTCAAACAATTCCTAATCTTCCCCAGATCAGGTCTGTGAACTGTGAACCACCGTGTCCTGCATCAGACTGATCAGGTCCCCAGGGTGTGGGGCCCAGGGCCCTTGGACATGAGTATTGGGGTAGAATCATGCATATGCAGTGAAATACCAAAACTGGATGAGCCTTTAGAAACCAGGCTTCAAAAAGTCTTATTTTACAGATGGGAAGTCTAGGGCTGGGGTGAAGGCACATCTTCCTCAAGGTCATTCAGCTGGGGTGCGGGGAGCTCAGATCTGAACCCCAATCTTCTGACTCTTTACCTAGCCCCAGAACGAGGTGGCTGATGAGACAGAGCCATGCCAGCACCCTCCGGATGTGGTCCCCAAACCAGGGCTTGTCCTGGGAGGTGTTTTTTTGCTTGTTTTTTAAAAATTGTGCTACAGGTGAGAGTTTGAGAAATGGATGCAAACCATCGTTTGTGTTCCTCTTCCAGTGCAGGTACCCTTCTCCAGATGTTGCTTCTTATTTGTGGAGAAAGAGATTTCCCTGCGGGCAATCCAGTGTTACAGAAATACCAGCTCCAGCTGCTCCAACGAGGGCTTAATGTAAGTGATCACCTGCTCAATCTCTCCCTAGAGAACAGAACCCCGCCAGCCTGGAATTAGAAGAGTAGACACTAGATGACAGTATTTTACCAGAATAAGGTTTCTAAACCCAGAGTTGCCAGCATCTGGGTGCAAACCGCGCTTGGGCGCTAGAGGGAGCACGGAGCTTCCTAGCAGGTGTGAGGAAGGATGCATCTGTGCTCCTGCAGTGACTTGTGTTTCCTGAAACTCCAAGGTGCCAAGTATTACATCCCAGCATTATGAGCTAAGAGGAAGGAATTGTTTAACAAAAGCACAAGGGGTTATTGTGCACTAGGAAGAGCAAGGGAACCAGGATTAGTTCCTGCCTCTAGATTTGGAACCCATAGTCTTGGATGACCGTGGACAGGTAACTCCTTTGTACCTAATTATCTGCGTATCCTTCTGTATTCCTTATCCGTGAAGGGGCATAAACATAGCTGCATCACAGGGTCTTTACAAACTTAACTGGGGTAGCTTTCACATACCAGTCAGTATTTTAAGGCTTTTTTGTGTATATTCTCTCTGTCGATCCTCTTGGGGTACATATTTTTGTTATCATGAAAAGTGAGGTTCCGGAAGGTAGAGATATTTGTCTAAGATCAACTAGATAGTAAGAGACAGAGTTGGTCTATAGATTGGACAATAGTCCAGTTTAGGAAGTAGACAGATCAGGAGAGAAAAATACACACACACACACACACACACACACACACAGGCACACACACACACACACACGCACCAACACACGAGTCCGATGCAACAAGTAAGGCCCCAGATGGACGCAGAAACATTAAAGTTGGAGCAGAGAGCTATTCTAGGATGCGAATTTCTCATCGTCAGAATGTTTTCAGGCTCTTCAGCCCCACCCCGATACACCAAATTGAAACCAGGAGAGGGGGCCAGGAAGCTCAATTCATAAGCTCCTGGTGCTTTGGCTGTTCCCCACCGTGCCAACCACACATCCTGTACAGCAACTTCATTTACAGAGGGGAGCCCAAGGCCCAGCAAGAGCAGCTTAGGGGACCTGGCAGCCGGAGGAGGCGGGGCTTGTGTGGTGCTCACCCAGTGGTGGCTTGGGTGGTTCAGCCTTCTCTCTTATTCTCTGTTCACAGATTCAAGCTGAAGAGAGGCAACGAGGTCTGCGCCTTGAACCAGGCTAGATGGGTTCAGAATCACATTAAAAAGCTGAGCCACTGCCTGCCAAAAAGAAAATGAGCAGATTTCTTTCCATTATGGGCTCTGGAAACCACATAGCTTCACCTGTCCCGGAAACCCCCAGTCCTACACCATTCCTTCTGCCCCGCTTTTGCTGGGTCACAGAGGATCTGCTTGGTCTTGATAAGCTATGTTGTTGCACTTTCTACATTTAAATTATAGAATGATCAACCCCCAGCCCTCTGTGTCTCTTGGATTTCAGAGTGAAAACTTGATTGGCATTGAGAGGTGGAAGACAGGGACAGAAGGATGGGGCAGGAGGAGGGAGACATGTTGTACCTGGTGCCAGGGGAACTGAGCTAATAAGTGACTCAGTACCTCTCAGTGACTGCCTTTGTCCTGGAGGGTAAGCTTTGACTCGGGGTGGTGGTGTAGATTCTCTGCCTCTAGATTTGGCTTCCAAGAGGGGTACAGTGGAACAGAAAGTTGGGGTTCACAGCTGGGTCCACATTTGGGTGCAAGACCCTTCTCCATAAGAAGAGAAAAATACACACATACACATACACACACACACAGGCACACACAGACACACACACATGCACCAACACACGAGTCCAACACAACAAGTAAGGCACTTCTCCCTAAGAAGAGAAAAATACACACACACACCCACACACACACACACACAGGCGCGTGCACACACACACACACGCACCAACACATGAGTCCAACACAACAGGTAAGGTCCCAGATAGACATAGAAACATTTCTCTGCCCAGCGGCCTCGGGGGGTGATGTTATCACCAAATCACAGCAGCCCTAGCTGGAGGGGATCATGTGAGGTTGTCTGCCTGTAAAATGTTGCTAAACCCACTTTACAGATGAGGTGACTGAGTGCTAAAGAGAGATGCGGCAATTCAGGGGCAGATCTGGTGTTAGAGCCCAGGGCCGTTGCCTCCCAGGATAATTCCTCCAGGTGTCCCAAATTGCCAAGTGTACTGCCTGACGCAGCGTGGTACCAGATCTGGGGGACAGGCCCTGCTGTTGTCAGCAGTGCCCATCTCTCCTTGAGGAAGATCTCGGTGGGTGTCCAGGCATGGGTGGGTTCCGAGTCTGACTGAAATGCCCACCCAGCTTATCTGGAGGAATGAGGCTGTCTTGGGAAGAGCAGGAGAACCCTCGGTGGACACATAGGAAGAGGAGGCCCGATGCCTTAAAAGGGACATTCACAAGCTCCAATTTGTACAACGTGTGATTCAAGGAAGAATAGCCAAGGAAGGAAGTATTTCTAGGTCTTGGGGTTGGCACACCTTTACCTTTAAAGGTCACTTTTAGAGGACAAAGGTCTCATGCTGTGTTTCCCTCATTCCCCATCCAACACGTCACACATCTGGCCCAGTCTTCTTAATCTGTTTCCTCCCCTCCACCCCCATGACTGCCCTTCCTCAGCCCTTATGACTGCCCCCCATCACACATCTGGCCGTCTTCTTTATCTGCCTCCTCTCTTCCACCCCCATGACTGCCCTTCAGCCCCTATTTTCTCTTGCAGTAGGTTGTTTTCAGCCCTCCCTTCTCAACTCCATCTTATCCACAGCCAAAAGTTACTCTTCCTGGCATCCATTCTTCCCTCTGGATAACTCAAAAACCTTCAGACCTTCCTCCTGCCTTCGGAACTGAGTCTAAATTCCCCACCCTGATATTCTAATTCCTCTAGAACCTGCCCTCAACTTTCCTTTCTACATGTCTCCAACTTTTACACTCTAGAAACCCAAATCTGAGCGTTTGGGGATATTCCTCCCAGGCCCTCTCCCCACATTGCCCTCTTGGACCTCCCCTAAAAGAATCTTTGCTATGACCACACTTTCCCATCCTCTAAGGTCTGTTCGGCCCAAGTGCCCTCTTCCCTACCAAGCCTGAGGCTCACTAGGACTTACTTGGTCATCTGGTTTCCCTCTGGGTGTCAGGTGCACATGAAGTCTGAATCACTTGCTGCTTCGAGTGGGGAGGCATAGATTGGGGTGGGAGACAAGAGGGGGAGGGAGGGGTTTACTTTTGGCAGGAGTATGATTTTAAAGAAAGAAATGAACTGAATATGAAACTGATGAGTTGCGAGCCAGGAGCACCCATGCTGAGGACTGGAACCATTGTTCCAGAACAGCCTGGGCTGGTGAGGCAGGCCCTCCCTGAAACTCAGATGAGCCAGGCTAGCCTCACGGCCAGGGCCTCTGTACATCCGCCATCCACTGGCATGCTCTGTCATCCACCCACACCTCCTAGAGCTCCTACTGGTTGGAAGTCACTCCTGAAGAAAACACCACTGTGTAAGAGATTTTAAATAAAGTGTATTTTCTGTAAAATGTCAGCAGTCCTACCATTGCATTCATCTTTCCACAATAACATATTTAGCAACGCCTCACATTCACTTCCCTACATTGGGAGGATGCATCGCCTCCCTACATTGCAGCATCCCTTCATGTCCATGACTCCCACAGGCACGCTCTCAACCTCTGGGAGCCAAAGAGAAACCCACTGCTAGCAGCTCACAGTGGAAGGGAAGGGGACTTACAGATAGCAACCAACTTGCTCAACGCCTTGCTTTAAAAAAGATCACCAATACTCAAATAAACTCCAAACCAGCAGCAAGTCATATAATAGGCAATATTACTTAACACATAGTACATTTTGAATCACAAAACAGAATGCATCCGATTTGAAAATTATGGTAGAAATATTCCAAAGTATAGAAGAGGAGGCCGGAGGAGAATGGAAAAGTCATTTCACATACTCCCGCTTGATTTCAGTGGGGGTAGCAGAGTTCAAGTCTTCAGCGTGTGAGCTTTCTGGCCCAGGTGCTTCATACAATTCTGGACCCACTTCTCCTTTGGGTCAGCACACATCTCCTTGCCCAGTTTGGTTCTGAAGCTGTGGAGGAAGGAAAGCTGGCGCAGTTAGATGGAACCCTTTGAGGGTTTACCTAGGAGATGACACACTGGGCTCTAAACCTGCCTGACCCACCTGCTACAGGTGAAGAGGCACCCCTGCGGGACAGGAGGTAGGAGGTGTGTGGACAGAAGGGGTCTCTGGAGGCAACCAGTGCTCTTGCTGCCCCTGGGAAACTGATCTTGGCATCTGCTAAAGGGTGTGGCCTGCTGCCCATCCAGCAAGCAGGGCATGGGAAATTATAGGCCGTCTTCGGGCCTGTTGTGCAGCCAAAATAGGAGGATTTGCATCACATAGTCTGGTTAGATCTCATCCTGAGTAAGATCCCAGGTCAGTCTGATGTCTGTCTCCTGGGGCAGAATTTTGGACTGGGGAATGTGGGGTTGGGGAGGAGCCAGGTGAGCAGGGACTTTTCTACCCACATGACAGCCTTCTGGGGACACCGGCTGGTGGTGATCCGATAGCTCTTCAACCTCTGCAAGGAGATCTTCTTACTGCTAAATGTGAAGCAGCAAATGGATGGGACGTTGAGTGCATCTAGAAATAGTTACAAATAAAAAGCTTTGAGAATATTTTAGGCTTTTCTCAGCTTGAATACAGCAGGGAGCATCTGTATGGGATGCAAAGCAAAGAGGAAGAAGTAGATCTTACCCACCTCCAAGCCCAGCGCTCCCGCCCTAGACCCCGAGGTGAGGTGGGACCTGTGACATGGGCCTCAGGATCTCAAAGGCTCAGCTGCATGGTGAGGACTTGTCACTGCCATCTAGGGGGAGGCCACGGGCAAGGCCAGTGGGAAAGGTACTGGGTGTGGTCCCAGATGTGCAGAGTTTGGGAAAATCAGATGAGGTCAAAGAAAAGGCCCTAAATTTGGAGTCAGAAGCTTAGGTTTCATTCTTGCTCTGGGATAAGCTGGAGGTGGGCGGGTAGGGTCCCTTCTGTCTCCAACATGGGCTTCAGCTTTCTATCTTTAAAATTAGATGTTAAAGTGAACCTCTGAGGAGCCTTACTATTCTGGTGGGCTTAGAAGTGGGGCACTTGGCTGGGCATGGCTGCTCACGCCTGTAATCCCAGCACTTTGGGAGGCCGAGACGGGAGGATCACTTGAGGTCAAGAGTTTGAGACCAGCCTGGCCCACATAATGAAACCCCTTCTGTACTAAAAATACAAAAATTAGCTGCACGTGGTAGCGGGTGCCTGTAATCCCAGCTACTCAGAAGGCTGAGGCAAGAGAATCGCTTGAACCTAGGAAGCGAAGTTTGCAGTGAGCCAAGATCTCACCCATGCACTCCAGCCTGGGCAACAGAATGAGACTCGATCTAAAAAAAAAAAAAAAGTGGGAGCACTTGGGCTTAGGTCTTCCTTGAAGAGAGAAACAGAGGGAAAGAGAGGGAGAGGGGAGGTGATGGTGACTTACCTGGCTGAGCAAGTCCCTGGGGATTGAAAGCTGCTGTTATAAGCAGCAGGCACAGAAGCGCTGCAGAGACTTTCATGTTGAAGGGTAAGAGATGGAGATTTCACAATGTTTCTTTGCCTCCCTGCTCCTCTGGCTGTTCTGCCTGCCTTTTATAGGGAGTGGGGAGGCTTGGAGCTCTCAGAGGACCTTGGCCTGAGTAGGGTGTTGACCAAGTCATGATGAAGGGGGATCTTGAATCTGCTGAGCTGGAGCTGGGCACCAAAAACTTTTTTAGGAAATGCAAGAGGGAAGCTGAGGGCTGAAGCAGCATGGCATGGCTTCCTTCTGGCTGTCCAGGCCACAAGGAGCCAGAGAGGAAAAAGGGACACAGATGTGCCCCAGCCACTCACTATGGGAAGCCATCCAAGGAGCTGTTTTCTGCTTACTTTCTCTAGCAGAAAAAAGAAAAACAATGAAAATTAACTCCTGTAGAGAAAAGAGTGCTATGCTAAGGACTCTGTTCATGTTATATATTTAGTTTGAGGAGGTACGTACCATTATGATCATGCCCATTTCATAGATGAGGAAATGGATGCAGAGAGATTAAATAACTTGACCAAAGTCTTCTGGGAAATGAGTAGGAAAGCTAGAAGAGAAAGCTAGTCTGCTTATATTTTATCACCAAGGTAGTTTCAAACTTTCGTTTAGCTGCAGAAGTCTTTTTCCAAGTCAACTTTTATGTGGAAGTCTAATATCTGAAACAGATTAAGTCACGTTCTGATGACAGGGGCTCCTTACATTCCATAATATGACCCCTTCTGCCCCTCAGGCCCAGAGGGACATGGTTCAAACACCTCTGACTGATGCGAGCCCCCTGTTTCCAGGAAGGACCATTGGGTTTCTGGAGCTGTTGATGGGAGGGTTGGGGTGGTCCTCAGAGCAAAGACGTGATGTGTTTGGCCCATTCCTGGGCTCTTCCTGCGAGGGGCACATACCTGGGAGCTGGGAGTTGGGGAGGGAATGGCTTAGAATGGTTGAACATGTCCCTTCCCCACTCATCCCTAGCTCCAAGACTTGGCACAATTTTTGTGCCTTCCTGGAATACTCATCCCTCTGCATTCCACTCTAGCAAAATAAGCCCAGGGAAAGTAAAGGGAAGAAATAAACAGCTAGGATTAGAGAAATAGGAAACAGTAAATATTAGAAAGGATAGATGAAGCCGAAAGTTGGTTCTGTAGCCTATTATGAAGCTAAAACTCTCCTGAACTGACCATGAAAAAAAAGAAAAAAAGGGGCCGAGGCCAGGGGGATCACTTTAGGTCAAGAGTTCTAGAGCAGCCTGGACAACATGGTAAAACCC